GCGACTTGAGAAACTGCAAGTTGCTTCTGGTGTGAGATGTGAAGGAATGAAAATTACATGTAGTTGACATCTTTAGCAATCCACACATTGTCTTGTTAGAGAAAATGTATGCCATATAGATGATCAGTAAAGAATAAGGTGTTTACTCTTTGTTAAGCAGGGCAACATATATGCAGTCATGTGAACAGTTGCATTGACTCACACAATGTCCTTTGAGAGAGATTCAAATGTTCCTTGGGTGTCCCTGTGAGAGATCTTCCTCCAGCAGCCAAGAAGCAAAAATACTACTAACTGTCCTGGCAAGCTTCTGCACAGAAAACAAACATGTAACTGTTGCCAAAACTCCCAAGTTCAGCTAGCTTCAGGGCGTGGCCCAACTAATCAGCTTTGTGCTTCGCACTTTTCAGTTAACACACTCACTAACTAATTTTTACATGCTCCAACATGAGATAATTGGCCGTATGAAAGGACGTTACCCAGGGGATTCCCCGGGTGTTTGATGTTTTACCATCCTTGTGGGAGGCTTCTCTCATGTTCCCGCATGGGAGCTGGAGCTGACAGAGGGAGCTCAACCTGCTCTCTCTGGATTTGAACTGCTGACCTGTTGGTCAGCAGTCCTGCCAGCAAAAGAGATTAATCTATTGCGCCACTGGGGGCTCCAGCTCTCTCAGTAAAAGGAACTAAACTAAGAAAGAAAAGTAGAATATGTATAAAAATATGTATAAAGACTCAAATCTCTGTGTCTACAATCCTTGGCTCTGGAAAGAAATAGTACTTCCCAGAGTATGGGGAACAGTCTCCATTGTCCTAAGAGTTGTAGTGAATTCTGGGAGTGGTAGTCCAAAATTACCCCAAGCTCTGTTTATTCCCTCAGGCCAATTTTTTATACCTCAACAGAATCTGCCAATACTTCTGTGTAAGGGTTTTGCATCTGTTAAAGCAATTAAAGTCGGTATTCTCAAAGGTCAAGAAACATTTCCCCTTGAACTTTCTTACATCTTGTTGCACTGGAAATCACACAAACAAAAGCCCAACAATGATGACAACAACAACTGATCTGTAGCTCAAAGAAAGAACAAGAAGCCAAATGGGATGTTTCAGAGGAAACCTTCCAGGCTAAAAAACTGTTCCTGACAATAGAATTGGCTCTGTCCACAGCATATGATCCCACCTTACAAAAATGCACCAAGTTCGTCAGACACATGGTATTAGCTAACATTTATTTTTCTTTTAAAACAAACTGGAAACCCGTTAACTACTTTTGATGGCAGAAAAAGGAGCCTTGACTTGTTATTAAATAATCTTCCTGGAAGAAATCTCCTTTTGTGCATACATTGATGTCAGAGCTGGGAAAAGTTCTTTTTTTGGACTATGACTCACAGAAAACCCCAACCATGCTAGCTGGAGGATTCTGGGAGGTATAGTCCAAAAAAGTATCTTCCTACGCTCTGACAAAACGCAAGTACCATCACAAGTACAGTCCAAGGAAAGGGAATAAATAGCAATGCCCACGCACCCACATCCATCTTGCCTCTCTCCCTGTCCTGCTACCGTCTTCCTTGCTGAGCTTTGCAGTCACCTCCCCTCCTCGCTCAGCTCTCCGATTGCTTTCTACGAGTTAACAAAAGCCAAGGCAAACAGGCAAGAGAGCTTCCGCACAAGTTCTCAGTCCGTCTTCCTTCGCGAACTCTTTGAAAATACTTACCTGATAGAGCTGCTGCTCGAATGTGAACGACAGCCCAGCCATCTCCCCAACGGCTGCCCAAGTTTAACTCTGCTTAGCTTGTGAAAGCTAATAAGATCACAGCTCCTCCGAATGAGCTGGCTGCCAATCAGGAAATGAAATTTCTTGGCAGAGGTGCAATTTTAACATGCCACCTGCAGTGTGACATACCTCCACAGAGTCACCAGAGAGCCCGGCACAAGTAGAGAGAAACCGGTTCATGAAAACCAACAGCTCACCGCCATATATATATATATATATATATATATATATATATATATATATGCGCCCCTGCTATGTTAATAACTTTGGCAATGCTTTAACACGCACAAGCTCAAAATGGAAAACACTGAAGTATGCACTCAAAACAGACGCACAGTTATAAGTCTATTTTTACAGGTGTTTGCTACAATATTTGAATCCACTTCTAAGTCCTATATGACCTCTTTAAAATACTCAAGAAGCCCACTTGCTGTTGATGCTTTCATGGGATTGGTATAGCGAAAGCATTTTGCCCAAAGATGCACACACAGAGAGACATATCAAAAAGCATTGTCACTACTCAAGAACCTATGTATCAATGAGGTTTTATGAGCAAAAAGACTACTAGAATTTTAAAATCATGTTTTGTACCATCAGCCATTTATTGTCACTTCAGGAATCTGATGGGTAGGAAGGCAACTTTAAATAACTGCCCCATTATTATAAAAATTATTTAAATGTGCCTCTTCTTAGTGCTTTTTTCATGTCAGGTGCAACTTGAGAAACTGCAAGTCGCTTCTGGTGTGAGAGAATTGTCTGTCTGCAAGGATGTTGCCCAGGGGATGACCAGATGAATGATGTTTTAGCATCCTGTGGGAGGCTTCTCTCATGTATCCACATTGGGAGATGGAGCTGACAGAGGGAGCTCAATCTGCTCTCTCTGGACTCGAACTGCTCACCTGTTGGTCAGCAGTCCTGCCAGCACAAAGGTTTGCACCAGCGGGGGCTCCTTTCTTAGTACTGAAGAAGAGATAGTAAAGTGATTTGGGGAAAAAAATGATCACTGAGGCTTAATATTCTACAGCCTGCAGGAAGTTATTAGTAGTTTCAATAATTTAAATTGTGTGGACGAACCCACATGATCCATTTGTATGTTCACTCTACAGTCATTTATGCTGACCACACATTTTCTTTTATTGTTGGCCCTTGACATTTTCAGGTTCATCTTTTGCAGATTTTATTATTTGTGAATTTGATTAATATGATCTCTCCAAGAACCTAGTCTAGGTCCCCCAACACAACTGAATGGCCAATTTTCAGCTGAAGCTGGCCACAAGATTACATTGGAGGATCTAGAGATTTCTAGGTAACTATTCTCTCAGGCGAAGAGTCCCCGATGACAAAATGGGTTAAACCACTGAAATGCTGAAGTTGCTGACCGAAAGGTCGATGGTTCAAACCTGAGGAGTGGGGTGAAGTCCTGCTGTTAGCCCCAGCTTCTGCTAACCCAGCAATTCAAAAACATGCAAATGTGAGTAGATCAATAAGTACCGCTCTGGTGGGAAGGTAACAGTGATTCATGCTTTCATGCCAGCCAAAAGACCTTGGAGGCGTCTATGGACAACGTTGGCTCTTCAGCTTAGAAATGGAAATTGAGATGAGCACCACCCCACAGTCGGACACAGCTAGACTTAATGTCAAGGGGAAACCTTTACTTTTATTCTCTCAGGTAAAAAGTAAGCATTTTAAATTCCACAATTTTCCATTTTTGTGGCACCCTGAACCCCTAACTCCAGAGAATGTGGAAGGTTGATTATATTAATTTTGTTGGTTCTGCTGACTTCCTCTTGTTGTATGAAGTGGGCAATTTATTCTATACATGGAAGCTCCTTGTACAATTTAGGACCCTTTACAACCAACGCAGTAAATCTCGCTGAGCTTGTGCTTACAGAGCAAACTCTCTGTGAAAACCTTTCCCGCTTCCAATGCACGCAAGGCAAGTGGAGACAAAACAAAGGTGTGACAAATGGGGTGGAGTCAGCAAGGAGGAATGCTCAATCTTTGAAACTAAACGGTATCTACAGCAATGTTTTGGAAGTTGGAGAATTAGAACTATGAAGTGTTTAGTCAATAGATCACGACAGATTTTTCTTTAAGAAATATTAATACAAAGCTATGCCTGTGCATAACTCTCTTTGTTGAATCCATATGATAGTAAAGATGAAAAGGCTCAACTACTCGTTGTATTTCATATCCCCAGACACCCACATCCATACTCTCAAAAGACAGCAAGAAAACATAGTAAGACTCCAATCTACAATTCCATAAATCCCTGGACTGTGGTTAAAGACCTGGGGACATTTCTACTTCTCTCTGCTCCATTTCAGAGTGTGATTCCAAGAACATGCTTGATATCTGCGTCAATAACAACCCTGGTTAATAATAAAGTAAAGGTAACGGTTTCCCCTTGACATTAAGTCTAGTTGTGTCTCACTTGGGGGGTGGGGGGGAGGAGGTACTCATCTACATTTCTAACCCAAAGAGCTGGCGTTGTCCATAGACGGCTCCATACAGTCATGTGGCCGGTATGACTGCATGGAGCGCCATTATTGTCCTGCCAAAGTGATACCTATTGATATACACACATTTTCATGTTTTCAAACTGCTAGGTTGGCAGAAGCTGGGGCTAACAACAGAAGCTCATTCCACTCTCTGGATTTGAACCACTGATCTTTCGGTCAGCAAGTGCAGCAGCTCAGTTATTTAACCCACTGCGGTACCAGGGGCTCCTATTGGTTAACAGTAACGAAGGTATTAAGGTAATCCAAGAAATTTAGAAATATGCTTTCGAACTCCTCTGAGGTCTCAGTTTACGTTTTAGTAGCACAAAGAACTAAGGAAAGTTTAATTCTCTCTGGTTTTTAAAAAATCCAAGAGAAAGCAGTGGGTAATAAACAATCCTAATCCATGATCCATTCTCAATATGCTAACCATGTTTAAATTAAGTAGACATCAACACTTTGTCTGCAATAGTCAGCCAGCTAGAAAGGGCTCACTCGACTCCTTTTTCAAGCATTATTTAACTTCTTAGATATCACACTCTGGTTTCCACCTTCTCCGAAATGCAATTCAGATTTAACAACAGATATGTTTTTACAAAATAATCAAGATGTAAACGAGAAGCATAGGTAACACCCCACTTTTGAGTACATGCTTTTTTATCTTTGGCAACATATCCAGGTTTCCCCTGACAAGAAGATATCAACAATGAGAATGAGCCATGCTCTACACTTACCCTTATGTCTCCATTTACAGCCCTTGGCATGTGATTAAATGCGTGTGCGGGATCTTTGTTGTAAACTTTAAGGAAAGATCGGTCTTGAATGTTCCTAGAGTAATAAAAACAAACACACAAAACAATAAATTATCCATAGCTTAATTCGAACTCCTTTGCATTGCGTACTCTGAAAGTACTGGTTATGTGTTGTTTTTCAAGAGACAAAGGTAAACATGCTACCTGTTACTTGTCCTTTGAGAGGTATTTTCCACTCCCATGCAAATTTTCATTAAAAGCGCTGGGTGTGGAACAAACTGTATGGAAGCAGAACACCTTCCACGTTTACTTTTCTTTCAACAGACCATCCTTGTTATTTACCAATTAAGAACCAAAGATACAGTACATCAGAACAAAAGTAAGTTCCTTAGGAGGGAAACACTTGTTCAAACATTTTATATTTTATGACTCCATTCCCAGGCTTCATTCACAGGTAACACATACATTAATTTCAGTGATTTCACCAAGTTTTACTTCTCTGTAAAGATTCCTAAAATGCAGCTGCAGATCACTTTAAAGAACTGATCTGCATCCATTTTGATTCAAAAGACAATGGAGGAAAGGCTTCCTATTTTGGAAAAACATATAGCCTGAACAAAACTGGAAGATGAATGTACAATTCACAAAGCCGATCCACCAGTACAACTATTTTAAAAGTCAGTTGCTTTTCATTTAGCTGCGAAACCTACCTTACAAACAGTGTACAGATCTGGAGCGAAACCTCCACCAGCAACAATTGGCTGCAAAGACGGCAAATCTAACTACACTTATGTCCTCTTAAAACTGCAATGCCTTTCATTTAACACCAGCGATCTCCCGAGAATTTTCACAAAAGACTGAATTCCTTTGCTCCAGGTGCAGCTACAAGTTTAGTGGGCTGATCTTAATCACCAGGATTATGGTTTGGAGGAGGAGGGAGAACACATGGTGAAAGATTTTTGGACAGGTCTTGTTTCTTTTAAAGTCACACTGCAGTTGGCAATTGCCTCGAATCTGTTACTAGTTAGGGCATGTATCACTGTTATTGACTTCAAGCAGTCTTGTCGGGGGAATGGAGGGGGGGGCAGAGATAGTTGGAGGAGCAGATCACCCACAGCTGTTAAGAAACATGTGGTTAATTGGGCATTCAGCATTAATGAAACTATATCATATGTACCCATGGATATGTTGACCTCATATATAAGTCAAGGGCAGGTTTTGAGGACAAAATGACAGATTTTGATATGACCCATTAATAACTTGGTGTCCATTCCCACAGAAAGTGGAAAATGCTGATGCCTCCTTAGGTGATCAGTTGTCGCTGACTATCACCATTTTCTTGTCTAAGCATCTAAAAAGGCCAGAAGTAATGGCACAGTATTTCTTTTAGTTTCTCCCAGGATAAACTAAACCCTCGCCTTATGCGACTTTATTCTGAGATTGTTCCCTTTTGTGATGGGAATCAAAGTATAGTATACACATTGAGTTGTGGCTAAGCTGACACTGAAATGCAACGGTGCCTGAACTCTGCAAGTGCAGCATTTTCTGAATGAAGCAGAGAGTGCTTGAGGATCAGGACATCCGTAGGAAGAGCAAGATGCTTGTTTATAAAGCTATTGTCCTCCCAATCCTGCTATACAGTTGCAAAACATGGACTGTCTACCGACGTCACACTCAACTCCTGAAATGATTCCATCAGCATTGCCTCCAAAAAATCCTGCAAATCTCTTGAGAAGATAGACAGACAAATGTCACCATGTTAGAAGAAGCAAAGACCACCAGCATTGAAGCGATGCTCTTACATTGAAGCTATGTGGACTGGCCACATTGTCTGAATGCCCCCAATCACCGTCTCCCAAAGCAGTTACTATACTCCCAATTCAAGAATGGAAAATGGAATGTTGGTGGACAGGAAAAGAGATTTAAAGATGGGTTTAAAGTTAACCTTAAAAACTGTGGCGTAGACACCGAGAACTGAGAAGCCCTGGCCCTTAAGCGCTCTAGATGGAGGTCAGCTGTGACCAGCAGTGCTGCAGAATTCGAAGAAGCACAAATGGAGGGCGAAACACATAAATGTGCCAAAAGGAAGACACGTCAAGCCAACCCTGACTGGGATCACCTTCCACCTGGAAATGGATGCCCTCACTGTGGAAGAACATGCAGGTCAAGAATAGGGCTCTACAGTCACCTAAGTATCCACCACCAAGACACTACACTTGGAAGCCCATCATACTTGAACATATGCAGTAGTAAGCATATGCAGTAGTAACTTAAAGGCATCAGATGCTGACCGATTTTGGAAAATAAGCAGGGTCAGACCTAATTAGTACTTTGATGGGAGACCACTAATGAATTCCAGAGGCTACAGACTATATTTCAGAGGAAGGAGCTGGCATTATTGTCTAATAAAACTCTATGAAATGCATTGGATTAACGAGTGAGTTGACAGTACACGAGTATACACACATTTAAAATATTGAAGGGTAACCACTAAATACAACAACAAAACATCCTCTTATTTATGGGCAATGTAATCTTGTTGAAACTCAAACTCTAAAGAAAGCCCACACATTCATGAATTCACTAGCACTTTGTGCTATGATAATATCATGTATTCCTGCCTCTTAACACTTTCCAAGGCTGAATTTACACGTGTGACAGAATAAGAGGCAGTGCTATTTGGGGCTGTACGTGGCAATGATCTTTTGTGTAGAACTGGTCCCAAAAAACAGAGAACCAGGCAGAAACATTTGACCTTATTGCTTTCCTTTCTATGTTAGTTTTCTTCCTGTGTATGTGCAAAATCTACATATACTTCTATATATTTAGGAAAGACTGCAAAATGTGGTCAGCAATCTAAAAACAAACCTCTCTCCTTCTTCATTCTACCTCTTAGAACTCAATAGTGTCTTAGGACGTAGAATACCTAATTTTCCCCCCACAAGAAGATGCCCAAAGCCTTGCCTTTTGGGACATATATGGGCCTGTACTTTGCAATCCTCATTAGAGGCCCTTATATAGACCCCTATTATAACCTGCTCACAAAAGAAATCAATTAATACAATTTTAAAAACAATTAAAACAATCACATTTAAAACCATTTGAAAAATATGAAAAGTTTAACCAACAAAGCACACACTGCATTAATTTCAGAAAGAGAATCAAGGAAGAAGAGAGTACTGAAATACATTAGAAAAATCCTAGCTGACCAGATCAAAGATAAATTTAACAATGTATGCAAACCTACGTGTTTTATTTGCCCTGGAATACAGTCAAAGGTCCATCAGGTATTTTAATCAATTGATTTGTTCATTTATTTGATTTCTATCCTAACTTCCCACCACGAAACAGAACCCTGGGCAGTTTACAATTCAATTAAATATGTTATGCTTGGATTCACTGAACCTTTTAATCTATTTTTTTTAAAAAAAAAAATCCGTTTTCAGATATGATAGGAAAATCCAAGTAGGTAGTTATCTTTATTTCCACTTTGTATTTGATTGCATTTTTGGAAATTTAATTTGAAAACCATATCAACAGAAGAAAAATCAGAATCTATCCAGCTAAAAAACAGCAAATGGAGTCAATTGCCAGAGACCTGTCAGTATAAAAAGATCTTTTTTTTTTTTTTTGGATGGCAGAAAGACAATGAGGAAACCTGCCTATTCTCTCCCTCTGCAGGGAGTTATCGCTATCATTGTTATCACTATTATTTACAAACAAGGTTTCTTCTGTAATTTGAACTAACCACAACTACCAATTGATGTTCCACTCAAATGAAATTTAAGAGTTTCATTTGACAATATACTGATACAAAGATAACAGTTCATATTCCTGTTCCCCAGAAACTCCATAATTTTTTAAAAGTGTGGAAAAAAATGTCAAATATAGGGTCACATGTACTCCCTAGGGTCATTTTCATGGTTTCCCAGATCCCTCCCTTCAAAATGGGAGTTTTTTCATCATCATCATCATCATCAAGTGTTTTGCCCACAAATGTTCTCTATGGAATCTGGAATTATTTCTGCACTAAGATCAACCTCCAATTGCAAAATAAATGCAGTCTAGGCATGAAAAGAATAGGGGCAAGGAAAATTACCATAGACCAGTGGTTCTCAAACTGTGGGTCCCCAGGTGTTTTGGCCTACAATTCCCAGAAATCCCAGCCAGTTTATCAGCTGTTAGGATTTCTGGGAGTTGAAGGCCAAAACATCTGGGGACCCATAGGCTGAGAACCACTGCCATAGACGATATCCAATGACTCATTCCCTGGAATGCTAGAAATTTGAAAACTGAAGGAAAGCTTAATGTAGGGTAGAATTCTTATTTGGGGAGACGATGCCCACATTCTGACCTTCACATAGTTCACCTCTCATCCAGCCAGCCATCCATCTCTATCTAGTGGACAACAAGTTGAACATGAGCCAACAGTGTGAATGGAATCTTGAGCTGCATCAAAAGGTGTATAGGGTCTAGATCAGGCATGGGCAAACTTTGGCCTTCTGGGTGTTTTGGACTCCAACTCCCACAATTCCTAACAGCTGGGCTGTTAGGAATTGTGAGTTGAAGTCCAAAACATCTGAAGGGCCAAAGTTTGCCCATGCCTAATCTCGATCAAGGGAATAATAATAATAATAATAATAATAATAATAATAATAATAATAATAATCTTTATTTATACCCCGCCATCATCTCCCCAATGGGGACTTGGGGCAGCTTACATGAGGCCAAGCCCAAACAACAAATTACAGCAAAATAAAACCAATAACGAAAACAATAAACAACATCATAATTACATAAAACCTATGAATGCATAACTATATAAAATTACAGTAAACACAATCACAGTGACAATGGGCAGGCTACATGTAACGATTAAAAGAAAAAGAAATTAAAAACTGATTAAAAACTCATGTGAGATAAAGGAGAAACAGGTTATTTGCGGAGGGGGGCTCATTAAAATGTGGGTTGTGGAAACAAACTTTCCCACAAGGGGAGGGGGTACGTAGACGTAATGGTGCTTCTCTATTCTGCTTTGGCTAGATCTCACTTGGAATATTGTGTCCAATTCTGGGCACCACAATTCAAGAGGGATATTGACAAGCTGGGAGGTGTCCAGAGGAGGGTGACTAAAATGATCAAAGGTCTGGAGACCAGGCCCTATGTTTAGCCTGCAGAAGAAAAGGCTGAGAGACATAATAGCCATGTATAAATATGTGAAAGGCTGTCATAAGGAAGAAGGAGCGGACTTGTTTTCTGCTGCCCTGCAGACTAAGACTTGGAGCAATGGGTTCAAGTTACAGAAAAGGAGATTCCACCTGAACATTAGAAAGAACTTCCTGACCGTGAAAGCTGTTCAATGGTGGAACTCTCTGCCTTGGAGTGTGGTGGAAGCTCCTTCCTTGGAGGCTTTTATGCTTGATGGCCATCTGTCAGGGGTACTTAGACTGTGCTTTTCCTGCACCACAACCTGGTCTGTGATTCTATAGTTTATCCATCCATCCATCCCAGGGAAGATGTAGTCTTCCAGATTATAGCTCTATTGGCCTGACAATGATTGACATTCTATTGATAGCATCTGAGGGACAATCCTTTCCTATCCTTGCACCAGATGGGAACCATTAACAGAAAGAAGTAATCTCCCCTTATATATGTTTGATGTAATCTAAGGGCATTGAACAAACCTAATAAAAGGCAACATATGTTAACCTACCTTACATCACTTAATTCGTAATAGATATTCCTGCTCTCGTCCTTGATGTATATCGCCACACTGGGGGATTCCAGTATTTTCATTGTCAGCTGCTGGGGGAAGGCACTTACAAAGAGGGCACGGATAGTGTCTGTGCTTGTGATCTCATTGGGCATCCTTAGCTGTTTAGTTTCATCTCCGTATTGAAGATATAAAGCTCCTGTGGGCAAAAGACAAATGCCTTGGTTAAAATGATCAAACATGGACTTCAGACTCTACAGCAGACAAGAGCTAAAGTGCCTCGTTTATACCAAAAGCTCGTACACATCTACTCCTTTTCCAATACTAAACTAGTAAGGATGGATGGATGGACATATATCTCCTATATATACCGTATATACATATATGGGAGATATATGTATAAAGGCAGAGGGAGAGGGAGAGAAGAGAGAGGAGTATATATTCTTTCTCATTCAATATTGGAAAAGGAGTATAATTCCCTATGGCTATTGATTATATGTTCCTAAGACATACAGACGCTGTCAGAAAGATGTTTATTTGGTCTGTTCTCCAGTTAGGCTGCCTCCAGCATTGCTTCAGAAAGGTTACTTTTACCAAATGCTCAGCCTTAGGAATGAACATGAAATTTGCATTTGTTGAGATTCTAAAGAAATATATCCATTTCATACCCTGTGAAACTGTTATCAAATGTGCATACATATATTTTAAATTTCCCGTTACCAAAAGGAAAAATATAAGCATCGGAGTCTTCTTGTTTTTCTTTTTTCCAATTATATGCAACAAAATCATATGCACAACTAAAACTGCATGGAATTGAAAAATGTGCACAAACATGCTTCAGTCAATGGAGGAAATGTGTACTTTAAGAATAATACATACAAATGCGCAGATTGGGAAAATTACATTATCAAAATATTTCCATTTCAGAAGAGGGAAACAAGTATTGCAACTCAATACTAAACTTTGATGGGAAAAAGTTCCATGGGCGTGATAGCCTTATTCAATAGAATCACAGAGTTGGAAGAGACCAAAAGGGCTGTGTGGGAACACACAATCAAAGCATTCCCGACAGATGGTCATCCAGCCTCTGTTTAAAAACCTCAAGAGAAGGAGACTCCACTAACACTCAGAGGCACCTTATTCCACGGTCAGGAGGTATTTCCTAATGTTTACGTGGAATCTCTTTTCCTGCTATCTCAATCTATTGCTCCAAGTCCTAGATTCTAGAGCAGTGGTTCTCCACCTATGGGTCCCCAGGTGTTTTGGACGACAACTCCCAGAAATCCCAGCCAGTTTACCAGCTATTATGATTTCTGGGAGTTGAAGGTCAAAACATCTGGGGACCCACAAATTGAGAACTACTGCTCTAGAGCCTTTGACTCAAGAGCCTTTGGCTCAGATGGTTAGAGTCTCCTTTAAGAGAGGAAAACAGGATATAAATGAATATTATCTATCTATCTATCTATCTATCCACATAATAAAAGTGAAAATATATGTGTGTATATGTGGCTGGAGTGCCCACTTTCACAGACAGGCTCCCACTTCCACAAACAAGCCCCCACTTCCACAAATAGATATGATTCCCACCTATGAGGAGCCACCAAAGGCCCTCCCTCCAATGACATGGCAAGTTATAACGAATGCAGTGAACATGTACAACCCTTGCCAATGTCCTCCACAAACACAAGACTGACCACCACCCAAGTGAAGGCTTTCGTACAGGGACAATTTCATCCTAGATTTCATGTGTTTTCTCCACCACAAACATCTCAGTTTTTCTGACTCTCTCGATTGGTGTGGAATTTGCATGACCCCTCCCACTGCCTCTCCCTTAACCCTTTCCTATTCTTTTCCATGGCCCACAACAAACTAAGCAGGATTGATCAGCAACTAAATTATTATTATTATTATTATTAACTTTATTTGTACCCCGCTAGCATCTCCCGAAAGACTCGATGCGGCTTACACGGCCGAAGCCTCAAACACAATACAAAAGAAACATAACACAACAGTAAATAAAGCAAATCAAAACAATTAAGCAAAATAAACCACAATGACAATACATCAGGACACTATTAAAAAACTGGTTCGGCCGGCGCAGTGGGGTACAGGGATTAAAAGTGCTGAAATGGCAGGAGGAACGTAGGATTAAAGTGTGGTGTGCAGCAACATTGGTTATGCTAAGGTGCTTCTAGGACCTGGGATGGGGATTCCTAGTCTGGGAAGGCACAACGGAACAGCCAGGTTTTTAACTTCCTTCTGAAAACGGCTAGAGTGGGGGCCTGTCTGAGATCTTTTGGGAGGGCGTTCCAAAGTCTGGGGGCCGCCACGGAAAAGGCCCTGTCACGCGTCCCCACCAAGCGCGCTTGCGACGTGGGTGGGATCACAAGCAGGGCTTCTCCGGATGACCGTAGCGAGCGTGTGGAGGGGGTTGAGTGCTGACTTAACATGATGGAAGTTGTAGTTCACCCTGCGTCAAGACAGAGCACTGTGACCCCGACCAACAATGGACCTGGACCACATTTGGCACACGGAACCCCCTTGACCAACAAAAAATACTGAAGGGCTTTGCGGGGAATTTACCTTGATTTGGGGGAGTTGTAGTTCATTGACATCCAGAGAGCACCGTGATCCCAAATGATGATGCACACATGCCTGATGCACCCAAATTTGAACACTGGAAGGGTTTGGGAGGGACTGACCTTGATTTTGGAGCTGTAGTTTATCTACAATCAGAGAAACTGTGAAACCCACCAACGATGGATCTGAATCAAATCTGGATCTGAATCACACAGAACCACCATGACTGATTGAAGTTTGATTCAGATCCATCGTTGGTGGGTTTGGGGAAAACTGACTTTTATTTCTGGAAGTTGTAGTTCACTTACATTTAGAGACACTGTGACCACCACTGATGATAGATCTGGACCAAACTTGGCACATGGAACCCCCATGACAAACTGAACCTACTGGAGGGATTTGAGGGGACTGACCCACCATGGTGGGAGCTGTAGTTTATCCTGCAGCCAGAGATCACACTGAACCCCACCAATGATCTAGAGCAAACTTGAGCAACATGACAAACTCAAACTACTGATGGAGTTTCAGGGAGTTAACCTGGCATGATGTGAGTTGTAATTCACCAACAACCTTATGCATTTTGTAAAATTAAAAAAGATACTTTTTCAAAGAACCCCAGCAAAGCCAAGTACCCAGGATTGAGCTCCCTGCTTGGCCATGGAAACTTATTAGGTGGCCTTGGGTAAGTCACTCTCTCTGAATCTCAAAGGAAGGGATAAGCAAACCACTTTTGAACAAATCTTGCCAAAAAAAGCCTATGGAACATTCCCCTTATTACTTCATCACACTAGAGAGAAAAATCCACTTTAAACCCGGTTTCTGCCTCCTGCAGAATGCTGGGGTTTGTAGTTTAGTGAAGCCATTAAAGGCTCCTCCCTAAAATACAAACCCCAGAATTCTGCAAGAGGCAGAAACTGGATTTTCCCCCTAGTGTGATGAGAGGGTTAGTGTTGCCAAAAATCAGTAAAATGGCTTAAAAGAACACAACAACAAGAACTGGTTTTAAAATCTCATCAGCCAGAAATGTCTGTGTCCTCTGTACCAATGCAAAGCAAAAGCATTTCATTAGCATTCACCCCCACCCCTCTCCTGAAACAACAATGTATTAACCAGAGAAAGGATAGATTTGGAAAATAGTGTCATCATATGCTTCCCAACCAGACATTTCCAGGGAGTTCCTCCAAAGGTTATAGCAAATAAGGCAAAGCAAGACATTGTTGCTACAAATGAATATTTAGATATACAAAGACAGAGCAACTATCTTTTATCAGGGAATGAATTCTTCAGGGACAAGCAGAGACCTTACAATAATTAACACTTCCTGCAGTACAGGATAAATTCCTCAGCATACAGTCTTTATTACTGCCATCCTCAGCACAAGCTTTTCCAGCTCTGCAAGGCATACTTTCAGAGCTTGTGTTGAGGTCACCTTCATGAACTTTGTGGTATTTCTAGCCCGGGGCCTTATGCATTAACTTTCCATTAGTTGCTCTCACCTAATTATACCTATCCTTCATACTTAGAAAAGGTCTCTAATATTTGTGTCTTCATGTAATCTGCTAGTGAGATCTGTTACATAAAATACGGGCAATAGCCAAGCCATAATTACTGGCGCAAAATTCTTGGGGTTTTTTGTCACTGTTGTTGTGGAGTAAGAAAAATGGTTTTGCAGTGGACTTCTCTTGCCTTGGATGATGAAACTAAACACCAGAAAGTGCAAGAAAGTGAGTGGACAAATGCTGTGAAAAGACCAAAGATGAAAGAGAAACAATGTGATGTGATCTATGCTAACTCAAAAGAAAGCCACACTCCTGTACTATTTTCCCCAAGTTTGGGCTTGGGATACAATTCAAGATTTTGAAGTTATTTATTGGAATTCTCTGTTGAATCTCACACGCAGGGCGCCAAGGCATATGATATTTCTAGGGCACCTCATTGCTATAATACAGACTTAGGTATCTTGGAGAACTTGTCTACCCAAAGTCCTTGGCACCAGAAACCAAGGACTAGCCTATGTAACAGAGCCTTGTTACAGCTGTGTCAAAGTATAATTGTAGCCCATTAATCCCAAAATGCTAGTCCTCCAGATGTTTTGGATTTCATCACTAAGAATCTCTGACAATTGGTCAAAGTGGCTGAGTCTGCTGGGAACTGAAAGCCAGAACACCCAAAGGACCAGAGTTTGGAAACCATCTTTCTAGCCCATAAAAGAATCCATGGATTCAGAAACCATTCATTACATTGCAAAGTAACAAGCCTTCATTAAATGTCCTGGACTGGTTTGGAGAAGGGAATCATAATCATCATCATAATCATCATAATCATCATCATCATCATCATCATCATCATCATCTTTATTTATAGCCCACCACCATTTCCATGAAGGTACTTGGGATGGCTCTCAAAAGCACTCCAGGATGCTGAATATAAAATAAACAATACATAGGCATAAAAATAATAACAACATAAAATTATAGCAACAACCACAACGAATGCACACAACATCACATAATAATACAATTGTTAAAATTTATAAAATGCAGAAGTACCTGTGAATAAAACTGGCCTTAATCAACGAACTAAAGCGCCAGAGTGAATAATAAGTCCTCGCATACACCC